CAGAGTGTTGCTTGCATTGTTGCAGGTGCCATCTTGCCTGTTTTGGCAGTCCCCCCCCCCATCCCATGAATGCTCTGGTTGACAGCCATAGCTACATCTTCTGATGGCAATTTCCACAACACAGTTCTTGAAGAAATAATGTCTTTAGTATGTCCTGAAAACTCCATCATTCAGTTTCATTAAATGATCCAAAAATAATATACCAAGAGGCTTTTTTTCTATTTAAGCTATCCCACCATTGAGTTGAGGAAGACACCTCATAATTGTTCGCAGGATGATTGGAAAAATATAACTATAATGGAAATACACAGTTTAAAAAGATACAAATAACTAATTGCCCAGGTATTAAAAATTTGGGAATCACAATTAATACAAAGAAGAAACAAATGCATTGTCGCTCAGCCATTACCTTTTCGGTATTGCCATATATTGGCAGCAGTCAAATATCAAAGTTTTTTTTTTTTTCATCAGATTGTTCTGGGTTTTTTTGTTGAGTAACTGATTTTTTGGGTAGTTTTCATGTAATTTTCTTAGATTGATAGTATTTTTGTATTTCTTTCTGTACACCTCTTAAGTAATTTAAAAAATAAAACAGTTTTGAAAACATCATTTGCTTTGTACCTTCTGTTTCAAATGAAACAGAAGCCTTTTATTACTGGTTTGTCACACAGTCAGCCAGATGTTCAGACTGGATTTTGCCTGTCAAGTCCTTCCCAAGGACCTTGATAGGCAGATGTGGATGTTTTAATGATGTTAAGATATCATTGTAGGATGTAAGCTGTTCCATTGGCTTGTTCCAACAACGTTATTATCTAGTTAGTTTTACGATATTAAACAGTATATTGTCATTATGTTATTACTGTGGATATTTTGATTATCGATTGAAGATTGTAAACCTCAGAGCACCCCTGGCATGAATGATAAATAAATGACCCACAAAATCCACATCTCAGGTCTTAAAATAAGAGGGAATCTCTGCTGCTACACACTTCCCATAATCCTTCCTTACCTGCTGTTCAAATTCAAGATTCCCATTCAGTTGCCGTTGGGATTTTGATCTCACCTGGTTTTCACCCAGGAAAATTCCAGAAGACAAAGCAAACTACTGTAAAACTTCCCTCCCTTCCATCCTTGTAAAAACCCACTTTCCAGTTAGGGTCTTCAGCCTTTGGTGTTCTCAAGTTTTGTTTTTCTCTAGCCCTGATCTCTTGATTGGTTTTCTCCTGCTTTTTTCCTTGATAGATTTTTTCATTGTCAGTACAAGCCTGTTATTTTACACTTTAACTGTCCTCTGCTGATTACTTTCATTGATACTCATGCATTAACGTAATCATGATCTGCAACTTAAATGGCTTAAGATATTCAATATATAGAATTAAATATTATTCTTAGACGTTGAATATTGAATATTATGGTTGGTTGCACAGTTAGCCAGATAGTTAGGCTGAATATGGCATTTTTATCGATCGATTGAGTCTTTCCCAAGGACCTGGCATAGGAAATATTGCTTGATGATGTTAAAGGTATCTTTGCAGGATATAAATTATTTGAAGTAAAGCTGCTTTTTGCAACTGACTGATGGTGATTTTGTCAAAGCTGATGGTGTCCATGTAGTGCACCAGATGTTTTGGGACTGAACCCAATCCTATCTTTGCTTTCTTTTGTCGCAGTCATGCTGTGTTCTGTTTGCAGGTCTTTGCATTTTATGATTTTTCTTCAGTTCTTTCTCTTCTGTTCTGCTGTGCCCTGGTACTGCATCATACACAGTCTAGGCTCTTTTGTCTTTCTCATCAACAATTTTAAGCCTGGGTTGCTATGTGTCTGGTTAAACTATAAAGTCCAGATCCCTTTAGCTTATTCATTCTCTATTACTTTGTCTGTTTTGTAGTTCCACCAGTTTTGCTTCTAGGTAGTGGTATTTTTTTCAGATAGCCCAAAGCATAATGTTGCTACTTTGTCATGCCATTTGCTTGTAGTCAGTCTGGGTAATCTTGCAGTAGCTAATTAGGTATTTTTTTGGCTTCTTTGCAGAGCCGGTATTTGCTGTCTGTTGCTGTCTTCTCAGTTCTGGCTTTGTATAGCAATAACACTTAGCAATAGTGTTTAGATTTATATATGGTACCACTTCATAGGGCTTTATACCATTCTCTAAGCCAGGGCTTTTCAATCTTTTCACCCATTGTACCACTTTTAGGATATGGCAACATCCGAGTATCACCAGTCGCCTAGCAAGGTGTCAAAAACGTGATGACCAAAAAAAAAAGGAAAAAAGTGATAAAGTACAGGTAGTCCTTGACTTACAACAGTTTGCTTAGTGACTGTTCGAAGATACAATGGCCCTGACAAAAGTGCCCCCCAAACCACAGCCGAGCAAGACACCTGCCTGCCCGCCCGGCGGCGCTCTTCCTCCTGTCCAAGGTTTTCATTGTTGTGAGCATTTCTGTTGAGGATTGGCAGCGGGGGTGAGGTGGGGGGTGCTTGGTTTTCATTCCCCCCATCTGTTGGGTGATTGCAGCAGGTTTTGGTCACTTCACATGACCCTGGGATACTGTGACCATCATAAATATGAATCAGTTGCCAAGCATCTGAATGTAAATCACAAAACCCTGGAGATGCTGCAACATTCCAGCTGATCGACGCTTCTTCTGGGCTCAGCAGAAGTGCCAGGATAAGTGCTGCTTTCCAGCTGGAGCCTGGCGCTGATCCTGACACTTCCATTGAGCCCTGACAGCCCTGAAGAAGTGCCGATCAGCTGGAAAGCAGCACTGATCCTGGTGCTTCTGCTGAGGCCTGACAGCCTTGTAGCTATAGCCGTCTCTTGCTCAGGCTTGTGCAGTGCTGCCACCGGTTCAACTCATTCCCCTCCCCTGCTATTTTCTAGGATGGTTGCGTACCACCTGCCAGGTGTCAATGTACCACAGGTGGTACCCGTACTACTGGTTGAAAAGCCCTGCTCTAAGCAGTTTACAGAGTCAGCATATTGCCCCCAACAATCTGGGTCCTCCTTTTACTGACTTCGGAAGGATGGAAGGCTGAGTCAACTTTGTATGCAGTGGTGGGATTCAGTCGGTTTGCACCACTTTGGCAGAACCGGTAGTTAATTTTTTCTTGCCCAGGCCCAGAATGGACTTCCGGAAGTGGCATCCACACAGAGAACCGGTTGTTCACATAACTGAATCCCATCACTGTTTGTATGCATTTGTCCTTAGTCTTATGCAGCCAGAATTAGCCTGTCTTTTTCTTCCGCTTTCCTGCTCTTAGCCATAGTCTGATCTTACTATTACTTGCTTTGCCTGCTACTTGTTTTGTTTGTTTGTTTGCTTATTTACTCACCATGTGATACTTTGTCTTGCCATGTCTCTTTTCTATTCCTTTTTTTCATAGGGCAGTTTGGTCTCTTGGGTATTCTGTAAGCCTTCAACTATCTGGTAAACTTGCAACATTCCATACCCACCTACTTTTCCTGGAAAGTAAAGTTCTTTAATAATAATAACAACAACAGTAATAAAAAAGTTAGAAGGGACCTTGGAGGTCATCTAGTCCAACACCCTGCTCAGGGAGGAAACCCTATACCATTTTGGACAAATGGCTGTCCAGTCTTTTCTTAAAAACCTCCAGTGTTGGAGCATTCACCACTTCTGGAGGCAGGTTGTTCCACTGGTTAATTGTTCTCACTGTCAGGAAGTTTCTCCTTAGTTCTAGGTTGCTTCTCTCCTTGATTAGTTTCCACCCGTTGCTTCTTGTCCTGCCTTCAGGTGCTTTGGAGAATAGCTTGACTTTCTCTGGATAAAGGGCATGATTCATTGTCATTACTTTTCTAATCTTCCTGTCCAGGGCTTTTAATTCTACATGAGTCCAATTCACTCTTCCAACTGTGTATCTAATGTCTGGAATTGTCCAAGTGTTAATGGTATTTCCTCCACTGAGTCTGGATTCTAAGCTCACTTTCATGATGCATTCACTTTTAATCTTCTTCTTGACTTTAAGTGTTTGATGTTGTCAGCCTGAAGGTGCTCAGGTATTTATGAACTTCTTGATCCAGACTCATGACATTATTTCCATAGAGAATCTTGATACCATTCGTGTTCATTATTTTTTCCCCTGAAGATGGTAAGGGTGGCACATTTTGTCCAAACTCTGTGGCAGTATCTTGGCTATACATATGGGCAGTGTTGAGCGGTGATTCTATTTCAGGCAGTGTTTTTCTATACAGCTTCTGATCATTGATGTAAAGGAGGCGGGATAGTCTCTAGCACAGTGGTTCTCAACCTTTCTAATGCCGCGACCCCATAATACAGTTCCCCATGTTATGGTGACCCCCAACCACTTATAAATCACCGGGTGCCAGGGGCGTGGCCAAAGAAAAGGGGAAAAAAATGGCGGACAGACTTGTTTGGCGACCCCAGTGAAATGATCGTTCGAACCCAAATGGGGTTCCGACCCACAGGTTGAGAACCACTGCTCTAGCAGATATTTGATAGCCATTTTGTTATTGTTGTTGCTATTTACACAGCAATGTGAAATCACAACTACCAGTCCATTAGCTGGTATTGAGACTATTCAAAGTCACTTTCTGGTGCAAAGAAATGGAAAGGGGATAGAACAAGACTCATCAAAGTTTTACATCATCCTGGACCACCTGCAGTCGTCCAAATGTTTCTCAAATTATGGTTCCCAGCATCCCCAGCCAGCCTGGCCAGTGGCAAAGTAACACAGGGAGTTACAGTTCAGTAAGGTTTGAGAGGCCTTGCCTACCCAAGTAAGCAGGACCCGCCCACTGAAGCAAGTCATTCCCAAGCCTTAGGTCCCCCCAGTTCTCCTCTAAGAACTCCAGGGACTCCCCCCCCCAAATCGGGGGGGAACTTGCAAAGGGGCAGGATATTTCTCCCGCGAACTCGGCTTTCCGTCGACCCTTGATTCCTCTTGGGGCTCCCGCCAGGGAGACGCTCTTCAGCCAGGACTCTCTTTCATCTGTCTTGCGGCAGCGTCCTCTGGAGCCAATCACAGCCGCTCTTGGCGCCGCTCTTCCTTAAGTTCAGCCGTCGGGGCGTCTTTGAAAAAGTCCGGGATGTGACGCTTGGGCGGACAATGGCGAGAGTCCTGCGGAGTTAAGCCGGCTCGGCGCGGAGAGCATCCGCGGTCCCGGAAAATGCGCTTCTCCTCTCGTTGCGCTTGCAAACCTAACTCTGGCGATTGCGGCGGCGGCGGCGGCTGTAGCAAGCAGAGAGGCACCAGAAAACAGCGGGGGGGAGCGGCCTTTGCTGACCGGGTCCTGCTCCGTGAAAGGGGAGGAGGGCAGGCTTCCTGTCCCTACTTCGGGCAGCCGGCCGCATTACCGGTGGGATTAGACGCGCCGTGCACCTCTTCAGCTAAGAAGAGATTGAGTCGCCTGGTTGTCGAGGGAGGAAGGGGCTGCTTGCCTCGGCCCCTTCCTGCCCGGTCCTGCTTCGATTTCAGTTGCTGAAACTGAGGCTCTCGCAGCCGCGCGTTGCTTGGAAGCAGGACTGCTCCACTCTAGAGATAGCCTTCTGCTGCCCCTCCGTATGGCTGCAGAGCCCCTGCCTTCCGAGGCCTCCTGGGTCAACTGGATGGGCGAGCCCACCGTAGCCTGGCAGAGTGACCCCGTCAGCACCAAGCCCAGGAAAGGGCCAGGTGCCTTCCAGCTCGGGACGCAGTTCTGGATTTTTAACCACAGCGGAGAGGAGACCTCGCCCCCGTTTCTGACCGACGCTTGGCTCGTTCCCCTCTTTTACGCCCTTATCATGTTGCTAGGTCTGGTGGGCAACGGCCTGGTCATCTATGTCATCAGCAAGCATCGCCAGATGCGCACAGCCACAAACTTCTACATTGGTGAGTCCACTCAGTAGCGACAGAACTCACCTGGAACCCAGGTGGTTCCAAGGCGGCAGAGTCAGTTAACATATTTTCTTCTGTAATACTGTAAAATGAGGGGCAAGAAAGATTCTTCTAGCACTTCTGTTGGATGTTCTGCCTTAGCTGGAACCTAGAACCTGTCAGGGTCTTAGACCTAGGTTCTCACTCTGTCCAGTCGTTTCCATCAACTTCCATCAAGACTATTTCAATGAGCATTTAAGACCATACACGTTCCCACTGATAACACCAATTGCTTGTAACATTACACTCAATTGTGTACAGTGAAGTTGACATTTCTCATACGTTAAATTTACTTGTAATATTTGAAAGAGTGATGATATTGCTTGCCACTTGCTCCAAGTTGTAAATAAAGTGGTTTTAAACGTTAGCTTTGATTACATTTAGTGATTTCACAGGCAGATGGTTAAAATACTTTCTTTTTAAAAAAACAAAAACACCACCACACATTCACTAATTCTTACTGCATTTCCAGATTACACTGATGTGTTGCTCTTTAAGTTCTTCAGCAGTTTTGTCAGGTAAAAATCCACAGTGTGTTATAACTTTAAAGAAATACTATTCGCTATATCAAGGGTTCTCAACCTTGGCAACTTTAAGAGTTGTGGATTTCAACTCCCAGAAGTTCTGGGAGTTGAAGTCCACAAGTCTTAAAGTTGCCAAGGTTGAGAACCCCTGTGTTATATATATTGATTTACCAATCAGAAATTAATGTAAAGCAGCATATTGCTCAATGGATTTTTAAAGTGTTTTCAAGTTGTGGGTGCTACAACACTGGAGGTTTTTAAGAAGAGATTGGACAGCCATTTATCCAGAATGGAATTGGTCTCCCACTTGGGCAGGGATTAGACTAGAAGACGTCTGAGTTCCTGACCAACTCTGTTATTCTGTATTCTGACTATATTAAGATGATGAACATTCTAAAGCTATTTACAATATTTTCAGAGAAGCTAGGTTAAAAAAATCTTATCCCTAAGCTCTAACACATTTTCGTATGACACACCTAATTCAAAAGATATTGTACTACACTTGTAATATTCCAGGTGTGACTGTGCTACAACTCCTAGCTTTCATCATTATTAGCCACAGTGGCTGAGATGATGGGAATAGAAATTCAGTGTTTCCCGGAGAGCCATAAGCTCCTCACCCTTGATTTAGTCTATCATAACTCACAAAGCTGGGCTACCATATGCATCTGAAGAGGTGGGGTAGCTCTATATCATATCCCTAATTGATCTGGCATTATGATGCATGCCATTCTATATAAATATTTTCACATTAGAAAAAAGGTATGCATACTTAGTCTGGACAAAAGCTGTATGCTTTGTCTTTCAGAGTTATCTCAAAAGTTATCGGTCCACTTTCCATTACTATTAGAACCTTAGTATATATAATTTGCCCCTTTTATATAATCATTCTGTTAAAATTAGGAGTTGAATTCAGCTGACCTTCATCAAACATGCTCAGTTCTTCTAACCTTTGAGTGGCATTGCATTAAATACAATGGCAGCTGTAGGAATTAGTAGTGCAATACTACTGTACAGTATTTTTGGGTTCCTCATCCACAGCTCACTTAAAGTATAATCCACTAGTCCAGTGCTTCTCAACGTTTGTGTGACGGCGACCCCCGTCACACAAACGTGCCGCGCATGCGCGGCGGCGACCTCCGAGGGGGAAAAATGGCAGATTGCCTTGTTTGGCGACCCCCGAGAAATGGTCGATCGATCCCAAATGGGGTTGCGACCCATAGGTTGAGAACCGCTGCACTAGTCCTTCAGTGGGTAAAAAAATTACAATTACAAATCTTGCTGCTCCTATTGCTGCTCCCTCTTGGATGCTGCTAAGTGCTTCTGCCTTCATTTACTGCGAAAAGGGCCACTTAAGGAAAAGGACTGACCGATTCACCCCAGTTTTGCTTCTTCCATTCTGAATAAATATTTCAGAGAAACACGAAGAACGTGAAACAACAACGACAGAAGTCAGGAGGAGGGAGGTAAAGATATCCTGCGATCTCTACAGCACTTTTTCTCTTGAGTCCCAGACAAACAGGAATCCTTTGTGTTAGACAGAACTGTAAGACCTGAATCAGGGAAGGAGGCTGACATTACTTGTCTCAGCTAACCTTATGCCAAAGCTGATCTCAACTTTGTGTCTTTCACAGCAAATCTGGCCACCACTGACATCATATTCTTAGTGTGCTGTGTTCCCTTCACTGCCACTCTCTATCCCTTGCCCAGCTGGGTGTTTGGCGACTTTATGTGCAAATTTGTCAACTATTTGCAGCAGGTGAGCTTGAAGGATAGAAGAATATCTATCTATAATTGTATTTCAATTCCCACACGTACAGTTGATGATATGAAGTGGATATATTTCAGTGTCTGCAGATGGTGCCAATTACATAGCTGTATGTTAGGACTGGCAACTCGCAGGCTATTTACATTTCCCCCTCCAGCCCTCCTAAGCTATTACAGATCTGCGGGGACTATAAACTATTCACAGTGAATGCAAATAATGCTGTTCTTGCTTTAAAGAGGAGAAGGAGGCGCACGAGCAACTGAAAGGTGAATTTAGATTTTGGTGTCTCCGCCACATGCTTTTGTCTCCTCACCAGGTGACTGTCCAGGCCACTTGCATTACTCTGATGGCTATGAGTGTGGACCGCTGCTATGCTACACTGTACCCATTGCAGTCGTTGCGTTATCGAACCCCCCAGGTAGCCATGGCCATCAGCTTTGCTATTTGGATTGGTGAGTGGGGCTTGCAAAATCTATGAGCATTTATACCTTTGGAAAAAAAGAAGAGGCTATGTTGGTGGAGGTGGAAGGGAAACCAAACCCATGTCTGACACATCCAGACTTACCTTCTTGGGATTTCAAATCACTGACCGCTCTCTGGAGTTGCTTACTTAATTCAGAAGTGAGGTCAGAAGGTAAGGGACTGTAAAAAGTGCTATTGTTACTTTGAAATATATGTGTATATAAAATAAGCAGAATGAATACAAAATCAAGACGATCCAAGTCTCCTAACTTGTGAAGCCATTATTTCAGTTCAAACCACTAATCTTCCAGTGTCATTGGAAGTCGGACTGCATATAAGTTTCATAAATCATCATCATTTGACATTGAGTTTGATGTCAGAATCCAGGACTTACCTTCCCCTAATCCAGTGGTGGCGAACCTATGGCACACGTGCCAGAGGCAGCACTCAGAGCCCTCTCTGTTGGCATGCGCGCCACCGCTGCCAGCAGCAGGTCCATCAGGCTACTCCCACTGCCCGGAGCAGGGGCCCCACCTAGCACAAAGGAGGTGAAGCAGCCAACTAGCAAGCTCGAGTAGAGGTGGTAGAGCAGAGGTCACCAACCATTGTCAATTGGTGGACTGGAAGAAAAGGGAAGGGGAAGCATTTTACATGTGTGCATGCGCGCATGGGGCCGCGAGCATGCACGTGCTGCAAATGGGGTGGGGTTAGTGCCTGCGTGATACCCACTAGCCCTGCCCCATTCTTACGTGGTGCAGCGCCTTGTATCTGCACCCCGTGGCATGGCAGCGGCCGTTTTTGCTCCTTGCAGTGCGGTGGCCCATTTTTTTGCCACCAGTTTTTGCATGTTAGAGATGGCACTCACAGGTACCTCCCTGCCCCCCCCCCCAGGACACCACAATGTTGATGCGGTCCTGGCACTTTGCGATAAATAAGTGGGTTTGGGATTGCGGTTTGGGCACTCAGTCTCTAAAAGGTTCACCATCACTGCCCTAATCTATCCACTCAATTTCTTATAAATCAGCAGTCTCCAAACATTTGAGTTCATCAACCCCTTCATGAAGTTTCAGAGTTTTTATCAATCCCTAAACTTTTACTATATGAAAATGATTGAATAAATACTACTTTAACTAATAGTACTATGTAAGCTTAAAATGTTTGATAACCATTATCTTTAAACTGTTTAAAGTTAAAGGTGTTGACTATCATTACAAAGCTAAACATTCTAAATGATGGATTTTTGAATTTTGAATTCATGTTTCAGTTTCTTCTCTTTTGATCCTTCTGTCTCTGGGCTAGGTTTATAAATACTCTGAACACCACTTTCAAAAACATTCTCCCTTACCTCTTTTATTTATTTATTTATTTATTTATTTATTTATTTATTTATTTATGAGACTTATATACCACTTTAAGTGCAAGCACTCTCTAAACGGTGTACACCAGTAAGCAATGTATATATATATTTGCATTGCCCCTAACAATCTGGGTCCTCATTTTACCTACCCCGGAAGGATGGAAGGCTGAGTCAACCTTGAGCCGGTGAGATTTGAACTGCTGACCTGCTGAACACAGTCAGCTAAAGTGGCCTGCAGTACTGCACTCTAACTGCTGCGCCACCTCAGCTCATATATTATGTGAGAGCCAGTTTAGTGTATTGGTTAAGGAACCAAGCTAGGAACCAGGCAACTGTGAGTTCTAGGCCTACCTTAGCCAGCTGGGTGACCTTCGGCCAGTCACTTACTTTCAACCCTAGGAAGAATCCAATGAAGCATCATTTTTTAAAATCTTGTCAAGAAAACTGCAGAGACTAGTTTTATCTCTATTAGTAAATCAGCAACCATACTCATTTACATATACATGCATCCACCATCCATGCATCCACCCATCCATCCATGCATCCATCCATCCACTATTCTCCTTTCTAAGAGATAGGATCATTCTGGTTTTCCTCAAGTCTTTCTAGAGTTTGTTTTCTAAATGCTCATCCAAGGATTGTGACTTCTGGTTCTATGACCTCCAGGTTCCTTCATTCTCTCCTTGCCCATGGCTATGTTTCACCGTACTGAAAATGGCTACTGGTATGGGTTACGTACCTACTGCATTGAAGCTTTCACAAGCAAGAACCAGGAGCGCAGCTTTATCCTCTACACTTTCCTGGGTGTTTATCTATTGCCTCTTCTCACTATTTGCTTCTGCTACACTATCATGCTCAAGCGCATTGGACGTCCTGTGGTTGAACCAGTGGACCATGATTACCAGGTAAGATAGTAGAAAGAAAGTGAAGGGTCACTCTGCTTCTGTTATTAGATTTTTAAAGCTCCTGCAATCTTCTGTATGTGCAAAAACAAAGTCCCAGTTCAGGTAATTTAAACAAATGTTAAAAAAAAAAAATCTGAAAGAAAAGTTAAAAACCCGTCCTCTCCATATATACTGCTTAGGTGTAGCCAGAATAAATTTCATGCAGTTGCCAATATGTATAATATCTTTTGACGATGTATAATATCTTTTGAAATAATTTTCTTTGCTCATGCAGCATATTGTGCTAATTAAGCTACTTTGTACATAATTAACCTTAAGGTCTACTAGCAGCCTGAAGAATCATAAACAGGTTGGTTGTGAATCATAAATACATAATACATCATGCCTTCATTTATAATAACAAATATATTAATTTTAATTAAGAATAAAATAATATTTAATCAACTATAACCCCATTGGTTAAAGAACTTTGAGTGGTTTGGTCTAGGACAGGGGTAGGCAACCTTGGCTCTTTTATGACTCGTGGACTTCAACTCCCAGAATTCCTGTGCCAGCATGCTGGCTCAGGAATTCTGGGAGTTGAAGTCCATGAGTCATAAAAGAGCCAAGGTTGCCTACCCCTGGTCTAGGAAGAGAGTTTTCCCTGCTGTTGTTCCCACCCTATGGAACAACTTGACCCAGTGACAGGCCCCTACTCTTCTGGACCTCCAGAAGAGCATTAAAATCTGGCTCTGCCAACTGACCACGGGATCTATCAGTGCCATTCAACCCTGGGGGTGATTGGTGGGTTGAAGGTGCTCCCTCTGCCTTTTAACTCTGCAGTTATTTTTTTTTAAAAAAATATTTGGTTTAATATGGTTTTTAATTATATTTTTAACTATGGCTTTTATATGATTCTCCTGTTTTATTTGTAAATATCCAGAGTTGTGCAAGTATGATGAGCAGGATAAAAATCTAATAAACAAACAATTTGTTTTCTTATTTCATTTTATCATCAATTTAAAATGCCTGGGAAAACAGACATATTTTTGAATGCTCCTATATCCGTGGTGGTGAACCTATGACATGGGTGCCACAGGCGGCACGCGGAGCCATCTCTGATGGCACGTGAGCCATTGCTGGGCCGAGCTGCTCCCTCCTCCTCTCTGCACATGCACAGTCTGGGAATAGGCAAGATGCTATAAAAGGAGCAACTTTCTGTGGAAACAGCATTTGCTGCAGACAGCAAGAGAGCAAGCATGAGTCAGAGCGGACAGCGAGCAAGCGAGCACAAGCTGACAGCTCGGTGGCCACGCCCACTCGGCACCGGCGATGCATAAGTGGGTTTTGGGTTGCAGTTTGGGCATTCAGTCTCTAAAATGTTCGCCACCACTGTCCTATATTGTTGAAATCTTATCTGGAAATGTATAAGATTCTTTGGACTTGCATACAATGATTGGGCCCATCAGTTCTCATTTTGTCTTCTTCAACTGTTTATATAATATCTTTCAACAAGAAATTGAATTCCTACGTGTTCTGAATTTTCGAATTCTGTATCAGTTATGGAGCACAAAAAAATCAAGGTATGCTTAGTTTGTTTTATTCCCAATCATTTTTACCCCAAGATGAATTAAATTAAATTAAATTAAATTTTAAATTATTCAATTGATCTCCTTTCCCCAAAGCTCTCTGCATTTGTGGAAAACTTCAGGGAGAAAAAAAATGGTAATGAATGGGAAAAAGGAAGAAAAGATGAACATAAGATGATAAGTAATGTAAGGACAGTCAAATAATATCTCCCCCATCCTCCAAAAAATACCAGATTGGTGTACTGGTTAAAGGTGCTGCATTATAAACCAGGAGACCGTGAATTCTAGTCCTGCTCCTGCTCTAGAATCACAAAATCCAGATGGGTGGGTCTGGGTCAGTAACTCTCTGTCAGTCCTAGCAAGAAGGTACTGGCAAGCCACTTCCAAAAAACTTTGTAAATTGGCAGAAATCTGGGCTGACCTGATGGATGAGAAAATCCCGGCATATGCAGAGTATCAAAATAGCTCATATAGGTCTGCTGAGTCCCTTGCATTTCACTGAGATTCCATCATTTTATCTTTCTTTGGAAAATACTTCTCCAAAGATACATATTCTAAAAATTTGGGATATTTTATTTTACATATTTATTCAATTTATATGCTACCCATCTCACTCTGCAAAGTGACTCCGGGCAGCTCACAATTAAAATAAATGTTAAAATATTAAAACGACAGTCTAAAATTGCAATGGTCTTCCTCTGAATCTGAAACCAATAGGTCTTTTTTTTTTCCTGCTAAACTAGGCAATTGCTCTGACTGCTCAGTTTGCACACTCTCCATAAACACTGTTAATGTGTATTTTCTGTTCATTTCCAGCAAGTGCAACATCTCTCTGAACGCTCAGCGGCCGTGCGAGCTAAGATTTCCAAAATGGTTGTTGTGATTGTGCTTCTTTTTGCCATTTGCTGGGGTCCTATCCAGTTCTACCTGCTTTTTCAGGGCTTCTATCTCCATTTCCAGGTGAACTATGAAACCTATAAGATTAAGACATGGGCTAATTGCATGTCTTATGCTAACTCTTCCCTCAATCCTATTGTTTATGCTTTCATGGGAGACAGTTTCCGCAAATCCTTCAAGAGAGCGTTTCCCTTCCTCTTCCGCCAACGTGTACGGGACAACGGCATGCATTCAGGCTCCCATAACGCGGAGATGAAATTTGTTACTGAAGAGATCTAACTTCCGTTGTGAGGAAGAACTTGGCTGGCTTCCTTCTCGAGAAAGGATATTTCAACTGACATGTTAAAATAAGATGGTTACTGACTCAGCCATATAGGAAAGGTAATTACTTCAGTACGCCCTACACAAAGCAGAATTTTCTGCATCTTAGGCTACGTTAAATTCCATATAACAACTAGGGGTTCCATATTATTCCTTGTGAATTTTAATTTTAAATGCTTCAGGAATCTGCACTGCTGTATTAGGTTTCAATGCTGGCGGAAGCAAGCCTACTGTTTTGTATTTATGGTCATCTTTAGAATATAAGTTCTGTACAACTTGAATTTACCCAGTCTCTGGATGTAAAATGTAAAAATAAAATTTTTGAAAATGATTTTTTTCCCCTGAAGCTTATTGAGATTTGAAGGTTTTGTTTTTTAAAGAATAACAGATTAAAATAATAATAAAATAACAGATTAAGATCATTCAAAAGACACGTTCTTGATCCAATGGCAGTTAAGAAGCATTCCTGTTTAACCAACCCACACAATACTAATATTTAATATCCACTGATGCCATATCGTTATTATTTTCTATTTTTCCTCCAGCAGAGTTCAGGGCAGCAGATGACTTGTCATGTGACGTGTGATTGATTGATTTATTAGATTTTTATCCTGCCTTTATTACTTCCTAAATAATTCAAGGTAGTAAACATACCTAATATTCCTTCCTCCTCCTAGTTTTTTCACAACACCAACCCTGTGAGGTAGGCTGGGATGTGAGTGAATGACTGGCCCAAAGTTACCTAGCCAGATTTTACTCAGGACTAATGGAGAACTCCCAGTCTTTTAGTTTGTAGGACCTTCACCACTAAGCCAAACTGCCAAAACAAGCTATCTGATGCGAAAAGATGATGGCCTGATTCAACCAACATGCTAACACTTGACTAGGTTCCCTAAGTACACTGAACTCCAAGCTTCCCCATCTCATCTCAGTCCGGAACACAGACAGGACTGATTCTTGGGTTGTAAGACAAAACATACACCTGGCTGCCACAGAGGCATTTGCCCACATAATGCCTGACTGGTATTATCTGAAGTATTTGTTATTTGCCCTCCCTGTCAACATGAGTCTTCTCTCTTTGAAACAGCATTAGACCAGTCTTTAAAAAACAGGAAAGTCACTCTCTTTATAGTGCTCTAATCCTTGGGAGCTTGTGCACGTGCACAGATGAGGATTACTTATAAAGAATAACCTGGATAGATTACTTCAAGACATCTACTGCTATGATTATATGACAAGTTTCAGGACAGACCCGCCTTCTTTAAATAGCCCAACCACAGGACAAGAACAGAGGTATGGACCAGGAGAGAGTTCTCCAGGTGCATCTAAGTCCCTGGCAGCTGAGAGCTGAATGGGATCCAGCTTTCCTGGGATTTACTACTGAATGCAAGAGATGTTCTTTCCAGACTGCACATAGGCTCCCCCCCCTGCTCCTTTCTTCTCTTACTTTTAATAGAGACCTTGGGCTGGTTCACAAAGTCTTCAGTTGAGAATACAGTAATTAGCAATGGCTTCATTAAGCCAGGCAGACCTTCCAAGTGATTCTGGCCGGCTTATCAGTGAGCAGGGGCAACTTTGCACAGTGGGGTAGGCTTGCTCAAGTTGCTGGAGCTCATTACTTGATCAAGCTCCTTGGCAACAGTAGTTGTTGTGGGGAAGAGAAGGGTAAATAATATCTGCCCCTCCCCACACACATCAATCCCCAATGTAATCATTTCTCCTTTCCACTTGTCTCCCCATGACTCATATTTTGTGATGTCAGCAGTCACCCTTTGCCAGGGAGACTGTGCGTTTTGAACAAGCTGGTAACTCACCAGACAGTCTGTTTTCTTTTCGCCCGCCTCCCCACTTTTTATGTTTAGTGTTTGAGAACTCATGTTTGCGTGAATGTATCACTTAAGATATATTTATGCACGAACATTCAACTGTTTCCGATTCCCTTCCTTTATAAAATACAAACATTTCAATCTGATGAGAATTGCTTGGGCACTGAAACGAGAAATTAAAAAAAAAAAATCAGAATTCCATCCCTCCCTGTCCTATTCACTAAGACATATTTCCAAGAATGAATTAGCAGGATAGTTGCCCAGGGTAAGAAAGGACATCAGGTAGCCCCTCATTCTTGTGGACATGATAATACACATAGACAAAAGAAGGATGTAGACTTTGTGATAGATTCATCTTCTAGACCTTTCAACAACATACAGATGTCTTTTGCTGTGTGATTGCTTACAGCTGCCATAATATATATGAATTATTGTAGCTGGTTATTTTAGGTAATGCCAAGTTTTTTTTTTATTAACTTATGTAACATTTACCAGGCAGATCCATCCACCACTTTCACTCTGTGAAAGAAATCTCTAGAAGTTCAGTAATACTCTGAACATTCAAATGGACACCATATTATTATCTTATAATAATAATCAGTAAGCTTGCTGCCTTATTGGGGAACACTGAAGCTCATTAAATGCACACTGTCAGTAAAGTATACCATAGACATTCTGTGAGAGGCAGAATAGAAGAAGAAAATGAAAGAATGCCTGCATTGGCCTGATAACTGACCGGAAAAACACAGATCACATTTCTTTATGGAAGAGTCAGCCCATCTTTCAAGATTATATTCCCTAAGGTGCCATTATTCTATCTACATAATTGTTTCTTCAGGAATGCACTCTTTAAAGAAAATATTTGTGGATATTCACAAAAGGGCATACAAAAAAAAAAAAACAGTATAAGGACAAAAGATATTGCAGATTTCCCACCTTCAAATCTGCCTTACTCTTCCAAAGTCAAAGATGAAAATAGGAAAAACTCTTCTCCAACCCACTAAACCTTGGCTAAGTAGGTGGTAAAAAAGCAGAGAAGAGAACAATTTAGATTTTTTAGCTCTGAGGTTTGCCAGACTCTCTGCTACTTTACTATCCAATTCTCAAAGCAGCCCTATGAAGTGGATTAAACTGAGAGATGGGTGCTTTACTACTAGACCACACTGTTGTGGTTGTTTTAAGAAATCACATGTCTTCCTTTCATTCAGTATCTTCTATAAACCACTAATAAAGCACTAATATGTGGAGATATTATGATTATAAGGGGAAAATCTGACAAATATACTTAAATATATCATATACCGTATATTCCGGCGTATAAGACGACTTTCTAAACCCTGAAAATCTTCTCAAAAGTCGGGGGTCGTCTTATACGCTCAGTTGTCTTATATGCCGGAATATACGGTGTGTATATATATATATATACATCCTTCCTTTTCCCCAGTATCAATACATTTAACATGAGCCTTGCTATGAATTGCAGACCTTCTGCTGAAGCCTTTTCCCTTTCCCCCTAATGAGCTCTGAAATGGCATTTCCACTGATTTCATAGTACTTCACTTTTCATTAAATTGTCCACCTCTATCATTCTATTACTGGCAGGACAGAGCTGCCATTAGCCAATGTGACTGCTGGATTCTACCGTTTCTAAGGCAACCAACAGAGGACAAAGACCAAGAATATGGCCTATCTCTTCAGGTGTCCAGAAAACTAGGACAGGAAATACAATGAAAAGCAAAATTGACTATTACTATACTGAAACGTATCATGAACATGCTTTCCTACAGCAAGAAACCCCATGTTTTCACCTCATTATTTTAGAAATGAAGATAATTATCATTTTGTCAACATCACAACCCAACTGGTGTTCCTGAAACCACTGAAAACATTCCAGTCTTTAGGGCGGATCTCCAAACATGGTAACTTGAAGACTTGTGGACTTCAACTCCCGGAATTCTCTAGCCAGTATGGCTAACTGAGGAATTCTGGGAGTTGAAGTCCACAAATCTTACAGTTGCCAAGTGGGAAACACCTGTTTTAGGGATCTGAGAGCACAAATGTATGCATAGAGATTTTCCAAGTGGAAAATACTTCTATGGAGATGGGAATGTGTGGAGTGAGCTAAGGCCATGGGCCATGGCCAATAGCATTTGGTTGGACACCAAGCTTTAGTAGCATGAAAAATGCAACTGAAAGCAAACTGGGAAGTGCAATTGGAATATTTAGAAGATGTCCAGTATTTCCATAATTTGAGTGACCCATCTCATCTCCATCATCACATGATTCCTCCCTCCCTCCCTCTCTCCCTTTCTCTTTAATTTATTTTAGTTCCTCTCATTTTTCTTTATGCTGTTTTGGACCACTTCTTCAAAATCATTTCTGAATCATGCAAGAATACTACCAGCAATTCATGGATTCATAACTCACAGTGAATCCACAGCAAAGTCCATTCAGTCCAATTAGCCTGAAGGATGAGGGGATTTTTTTTTGAAACAGCCAAAGAACACATTAGCAACCCCATAACAAAGTTAAGCAACCACAGTATACTAGGAGTTCAGTATATAGTACAGTAACAGCCTAAGAATTCAGATATTTCACAGCAAGAGTTCTTGTTCATGCAAAGACATCAGTATCTGCTCACCTGAACACTTGTCTCTCTGCCTGACGAATAGTGAGTAAATATCATATTCAACCATTTTTAACAAAGCTTAAACTGTAACATATTAAAAACAATTAGTAAACAAATACGTTGATCTATTAAGTAAACACTACTAATAAAATCTAAAAAAAAATAATCCTAACAATCAAAAGTAACAAATGAAAATCAGGAAATCAGGAAAAAGTAATCGTATCATCCAAATGTTAGTTAGAACTCGATTAAAAATCAGTCATCTATTCTAAAATATTAAATCCTTCAAGTTCTAACGCAGTGGTTCTCAACCTTTTTATACCGGTGACCCCGGTGCGCGGCCCGGCGCGCATGCGCGGCGCCACCCCATGCGCAGTGCGCATGCGCAGTGTGGCGCACATGCGCAGTGTCGCCAGCTGAGGAAAAAAATGGTGGATCGCGTTGTTTGGCGACCCCCGTGAAATGGTTGTTCGACCCCAAATGGGGTCGCGACCCACAGGTTGAGAACCGCTGTTCTAACGTGTCTCTAACCATTGATAATTTTTTCCCAAGTTCTAAAATAAATTGAATCATCTTTTTCTTTCATTTCTAATGTTAGTCTATCCATTTCTGCACACTCTAAAATTTTGATAATAATAATCTGGTCAGATGGTAAATTCTCTTTTTTCCAAAACTGGGCAAATACTATGCTTGCAGCAGTTAAAACATGCAATATTAAGTAGTCATTCTCTTTGCCATAATTAGGTCTTAATATTCCTAACAAAAACAATTCTGGTTTAAATTCTATTTGTAGTTTCATCATCTTTTCCAACCATCTATGGATCTTAGACCAATA